CATAATATGATTATAATAACTCGAGATTTTAAGAAATAATTAATAAATAGAAGTAAATGACTAATGTTTTAAATATAAAATATTTAATATTTTGTAATTAACAAAGAAGAAAGATTAATAACATGTCACTAGGTCCAGCATAATAGTCGGATAACTAAATTCTTTAATCATGTTATTATGGGGTTTAATTATTTGATTTGCATATAAAGAAGACTTTGTTGTAAATATTTATTTCCCTAGATTTTATGTTTTAAAATGAATTAGTCTTTAATTATTGACTGAAATGTATATTTATTGCAAACAAAAGAAAAATATTATTGGTCCCAGTAAAAGTAGGTGGATGAAAATTTTTAAATAAGTTTTTGAGTTTGAGATTTCAATAAAAATGATAGTCAAATTTCTAGAGGGAAATCGGATATTGAAAAAATTAATAGATGTTTACATCAATAGTACATTGACAAAAAAGAAGAGATAAGAGTATTGATTTTTTTTTTAAAATAAGTTATTGATTTGAGATTTCAATAAAAATAATTAGTCAAATTTCTGGAACGAAAATTGGATATTGAAAAAATCAATAGATGCTTGCACCAATAACACACTAACAAAAAAAGAAGAGATAAGAGTAGTATTGAAAAAAAATCAAAATTTCACATTGTCTACTGATAAAGCTAAAATACAGTGTATATATATGTGTATGTGTATGTGTTACTTCACTTAATAATTTATATTTTACATTAAGTTTTAATTATTTAATGTTAAATTAAAAGTTTTTTTTAATAAATAAAGTTTATAAGTTTTTTAAAAAATTAAAAATCATATAATACTTTGTTATATAAATTCAAATCAACGTATAATTTGAATTAATGAAACGTGATATCAACTATTTTTAAATTTTTTAAAAAATTTATACATTTAATATATGTATTTAAAACTTTTAATTTAGTGGTTTGATCGTTGAAATTTGATATTAAAAACGAGATGTTAAGTTTAGTAAATTTACTAAAAATTATTCTTAGAATAAGTGAATC